ATAGACCGGGCGCTCGTAACACAAAAAATGGAACAATTTTTTACAGTCTGCCATTGATAGGGGAAATATTTACAGCCACAAGCTGTAGATAGATGTACTTAAAAATCTTCGTTACGTGTTAATGCATACTTAAACATTAACTTTAGTTAGCAAAAAGAACGTAGTTTCTTGAAACAACTTTCAAACAGTCTGCCATTTATTTGAGCACAAGGCAAGATTGCGCGATCCATGAAAAGCTTATTGGCAGATGGTTTTCTCCAGTACAAGAATAAAGCGTACTTATGTTAGTTAGCAATTAAATCGTATAAGAACAATCGTCTAAGAACAATTTTTTACAATCTGCCAAGCTCAATTTAGGCTAATGTTAGCGTAAAGTTGACGAAATTTCACAAGGCAGACTGTTTGAAAGTTGTTTCAAGAAACTATGTTCTTTTTACTAACTAAAGTTAATGTTTAAGTATGCATTAACACGTAACGAAGATTTTTAAGTACATCTATCTACAGCTTGTGGCTATAAATATTTCCCCTATCAATGGCAGACTGTAAAAAATTGTTCCATTTTTTGTGTTACGAGCGCCCGGTCTATTGTGAAAGATATTCAACAGAGCTACGTCTTCTTATAAGTGAAGATTCATTTTTGTTATACAAGTCGTGTAAATAATTCAACATGCTTTAAGAGAAGTGGAGGGTCAATTTTATAATTTAGTATATTTGTGAGAAATGTTAATTCACAGATCGTTCTTCTGTTATCAAGCGTAATTTTGCCAAATTTTAGCATAATCGACGTGTTCATGTAGTTCAAGTTTCAAGATTGCTAAGATTTATGAAATTGATGTGAAAAATTTTTCTAAAAATCTCACTTTCTGTTCGAAGTGACAGATATTTATTTGCAACAATCGGATTTAAATACTGTACAAAGGGCAGAGTGTACAATAGGCGTTACGCAGATCGTTTCTGTCACGATTTCCATGAGAAGGAAATTTCGTCTCGACGCGACGTGGTGCGAAGACCGATTTCCATAAGAAAACAGAAAGCGGCGTAGCGACGGCGGCGGCGGCGGCGGCCGTCCGACTGTAGTCGGCTGAAAATTTATAATCTTTGAGAAGCAACGAGATTAGCCCGCCAATTATGCCGCGCGCCGCGCCCGATCCGTCCTCCGCCCCGTCCGGTTTTGTAATCTACGCAAAGTGTCACTTTGAAATTCAGATTCGCGCGGCTAAAGTGTTGACCGAACATTGTTGCTTCCGAAACTGCCATATTCAACCGTGCGAAACGACACGTCCGCGAGCCGACTAATTAATTGCGCAAAAGTCGAACGAGATTCGGCCTGCAACAATTTTCTAAAGATTCAGTACAAAAACCCATAAAAATCGGCGTAGAAAAAAGGAACTTTTCGACTTTTAGCCGAAATCTGGTCGATTTTAGATTATTTCTCGTTATAAAGTGAAATAATTCATGAATTTTCGCATGGATCAAAATTATACGTATCAGACACGCTTCAAACAGATGAGAGAAGAAGATTTAGCACGAAAAACCGATGGAAATCGAC